TATATGTTTATCTATGTCCTCTAATTTTGACCTCACACTGCCCTGGGAGGTAGGTGTTCCTCTCGATTTATACATTTGGAAATGGAGGCACAGAGAAGTTAAACTGACTGCCTGGGGTTAAACAGCATGTGATAATGAGGGATTTGAATTCTGGTCTGTCTGACTCCAAAGCCTTCACTTTTGAAACTCCACCGTACCACTTCCTTAAAAGGAAAAAATTATTGGAGATTAAATCAGCACTTGCAATACTAGAATTTAAAGTATTTCAGGCAATTGAATCAAAAATACACTTGCTTAGATGACTAACTAAGCAAGGCAATCATGCATCTGCAAACCATATCAGCTAAAACTTAAAATTTGTCTAATAATCTCTCTGGTTTACTTAAAAAAAAATCATGGACTGTTTCACAGCTAAAAGCTCCTCATTTAGTCATTATTCAAATGTTTGTCTATTACATTCCCACGGAGGCAGGACGGAATCTTCTCCCTCCTCCGACAGGTTGTTAGGAAATGCCTCTGCATTCCGCGCCCTGCTCTAGGGCAGGCAGTAAACTTTAGCTGAGAACACATTTGGAGATGTGTGAATGAGTGAACCAAGTGTATCCTGGAAGCACCAGCCCATGCCTGCTCCTGCAGAGCCTGTGAAAGCCTAGCAAACTTTTTGGGGACTGACGCAGAGGACCAGAGCTATCACCAGCTGGATTTGGGGCTTTGGTGGCATAGATGAAAGGGAGATAAATGCCTCATATTTTGTTCTTAGGAGCTGTTTCCTTCACAGAAATTTCTGACAAAACTGGTAACAAAAGATACACTATCTTCTACTCTAGAATATAGAGGACTAAACAGAAAAGTAGGCTGTAGTTGAGGCAAGAGTTTTCATTGAGTAATCTTTTTACCCAATCTTGCAATAAATGAGTACATAAACTAATCAATCTGTTTTAAAAAAATATATAGAAATGAGTTTGTCTTCCCAGTGTAAGATCACTAGCATCTCTTTACTGCATTATTCTCCATATATTCTCCACATTCTTACCACGTGTGAATGGCTATTTGTAAAGCATCTTATAATTTAAGAGGAGGGAACTTGCGTCTCTGAAAAGCCTACCACGTACCAGACAGAGTGCTAGGTGCTTTTTGTATGCAATCTCTTTTAATTGCCGTAACAAAACCAGAAACAACACCAAAACCATAACAAAACCATTATTGTCTAGAAATAATTTTGTAGAGGTTCAGTAACTTGCCTGAAGTCACAGAATATGTTAGTGACAGAACCAAGACTGGGACCACTTTTGTCTCCACATCTTATCTGCACTATATTACATTGTTCTCCAGGAGGTAAGCCCTCACAGATGTCCTCATGAAATCTCTAAGAAGAGTTCACTGGTAGTGCCAATCTCTGACACAAGTCTGAACGCTCTGGAGGGATTGGGTCTTTTTATATCCCAAGTATCTAGCCCAACCTCTGGCACATAGTAGATCCTCAATCAGTATTTGTTGATTTACATTATTCCAATTTCCAATGAGGAAAAGGCAATTGTGGCTTGCTGATCTCACAAGGTTACTGACTTTGGTTGTGATAGTCCTAATTTTTCCAATCCTGTTTTCATTGGGGTAAGGCTACACAGTTATGGAATCACTCTGACTGCCCAGATGGCATTTACTTTTACTTATCCCTGTATAGTTCATGTGTGTGTTACAATCCTAGGTCAACACCTTTTACACAATAAATAGATTCTTTTTTCCCTTGAATTTCCTACTTTATGGCAGTGACCAATATTGCAATCATGACGAAGTTTAAATCAAGCAATGTTGCAGTAAGCTGAAAGGAATATAGACTCTTGACTTGAAAGACCATGGTCTCATAAGTTCTACAGGAGTTAACAATTGTCAAACGGAAATTTCTTTTTAGTGAATTCTGTTTTCCAAATTTTTGACTGTGTGACATAGCAAAACAGCTTGTACAAATACACTTACTTGCTTACATTTCTACATGTAAATAAAAAGATATTTTGTGAGAGACTTAGAGCAACAAATATTGTTTGTTGAAATTTATAGTTTTACACAAATGAACATACATTACCAAAGAGAAGAACGAATGCCAGTGTTTTTCTGTATTATGGAAATTCACACACACACACACATACATACACACAAAACAGATTAAAGGACACTACAAAATATTTTGCTTATTGGCACCACGTAGATTTTCACACTTAAGACATTTTCTGTCATTTTTAATATTAATATTTGGATAATAAAAATTTGCCAATTGAACTATTCTTTAAAAATATACTTTAAATATAAATACGAATAAATAGCTCTATTTTGCCTCTTTGGTATGAAACAGCATATACTATATTTATTGCAATAAAAGATTTTTCTTTAAAAAAAATTGATTTAAATTCAATTGCTTACATAGGCTTGGCCTATTTGACGATGTGTCTGCTAGGTTCCTGGGTACATTTGAAAGTCATGTCTGACCTTTACTTGGGAAACCACTGGGGGTCCCACTTTTTTTTTTTTTTTTTTGCGGTACGCGGGCCTCTCACTGCTGTGGCTTCTCCCGTTGCGGAGCACGGGCTCCGGACGCGCAGGTTCAGTGGCCATGGCTCACGGGCCCAGCCGCTCCGCGGGCATGTGGGATCCTCCCGGACCGGGGCACGAACCCGTGTCTCCCGCATCGGCAGGCGGACTCAACCACTGCGCCACCAGGGAAGCCCTGGGGTCCCACTTTTGATTTTGATTGGATGATACGGAGTATGGACAAATGAAAAAAGTGACTTTGCATTCAGACATGGAGAAGCATTAGGGTATCAGTGAGATTCTGAATACAAATCTTAACAAAATGAACGTGAGGAGACTATGTAAAGATATAAGACTGTTCCTGGGAACCATGGGTGGTGGGTTTTTTTTTTTCCTCCTCTATTTCCAGATAGATTTAGACACTCAGTTGTCCTGCCTGAACTGTTCTATTGTTCTTGCTGGCTTTCAATCCTGAAATGCAAGACCATAGTTTTCACAAGTAAGTCCACTATGTTTCCACAACCTAAAACATTGTACCTCATTCTCATTCATATATGAATTTGACAAATGTGGATCAGAAAAATATCAGAACTCAGGGGAAATGCAGAGCTGAATGGTGGCCCTTTATCCCTATCTTGGTACTAATTGGCAAATGATGGCTTCATGGACATGGCTGTTTCTGCAGCCCCTGGTGGAATGAGTCCCGTGGATCATGGCTGCATCTGTGCTCTTGACCTTGACCTTGAATCTGATTGGTTGGCTGGTAACATGTTACCTGGTGAGAATCAGAATATTTTCATATTGCAATATTTTTAAGAAATTATCTTTATTTTTAATTGTTTATCTAGACATGCCAATGGATATTTCGGCCACATTTTGAGCAAAAATTCACAAGGTGTGTTTTTTTTTTTTTCCAAACCTCACGTGTGTACACAAAACAACACAATTGTAAGGGTTTGCGTAAAAGAACAAAGCATAAGAAATACAGTGAGATACAAGCTCATAACCAATGTTCAAATCAGTGAGCAGATCTGATTCAACATGAGAAAAGTTTACAAAACAAGTCTGTGGCTTGTAGGAAGCACTACCTGGTGACAGCTTTGCAGGACACGCTCCACATCCCATTGCGGGAAGCCTTAGGCAGGTAGAAACAGAGCAGGATTTTCACTCAGCCTAGCAGGGAGTTATGGGGAGGTCAGCGTTCCAGGAACAAGGTTCTGACTGTTCACAGGTGCTGTAAAAAGAAAAAGGCTTTGCCTATCAGGCCTGGCAGTGATATCTATTCTCTCTCTCTTAATTTGATTTTAACTTTAGCTTTCACTTACTAAAAATAGCTTTTTGATTCCTTTCTTCTCAAGCATTGAAGGAATTAAACTCGGAAAGTCAGCTTGTGATGGTCCAGGGACTAAGAGAAAAAGAATGTGAAGATAAAGCCCACGGATAATCCAACAGCTGTGTCTTAACTAGTAATTGGACACTGGACACCTTCTATTGAAATATTGCTAGAGAGCCACCAGTAGGCAGGAAAAAAAAGAGTTTTCATATTCTTTTTCTTTTTTTTTTTTGGTCAAAAAATGAGAAACTCAAGAAATCTCCAGATGGTTGAAAGAAGGAGACAAATGTATCTAGTTTATGCATCACATCTCATTTTGCTTCAAATTTGTATTGTACTAGTAGCTGCTTCATAGGCTCAACTGTTAGATATTTGGTAGTTTTCTCTGTGAGCTCTTCTTCAAGACCTAATACACTTTTGTCCTATAAATTTGGAACTACTAAAACCACGTCCAGTCTTATTTATTTAAATTATTATATAAATATAGTTTAAACAAAGTCCATTTCCTAAACTCAAAGTAGAGGCTCCATTAGCTAAAATAGCATCTTCTTTCTTATCTCTACTGTATCTTCCCCAGTAATTGCTTTCCTTGATTTGATCTCATGTACATTAAAAATAGACTACTCAAAAGCCCAACCCAAACCAAAATAAGAGAGGTTTGGAAGCAGAAATACATTCAATACATTCTCTTTCGGGGCTTCACCAAGCTGAGAGCTTCAGAGTATTAAAGCAATAAAAAATCATGTGTCAGTTCATAGTTATTACAGGAAAAAACCCAAAGTTAGTGTTACGTTTTCACAACTTCCTTTCTTACCCATATCAATAATTTCAACTTATCATCCACCCATTTCATGAAGTTTTCACACTTTCTTTAGTACCATCTGACAATCTCTTCTGCTTTAATGAAAGTACGACTAACTTTCCAAATTTCCTCTAAACCTTTATTCTGCAAGCCTCAGTCTTTCTGCAGGAACTTAATACAATCCAGTCAAGTTTCTAACATTTCATTTGTACGTTAGGAGGAAAGAAAAAAAAAAAGAGTTGCACTTAGGAAATGAGAGTTAGCTGACATTCTATCAGCTTGCGAAACACGTTGATAGTGGCAGAAACAATCATAGTATCATTCTCCCACTACCACATTGTTTAAGGTAAAAAGAAAGGGGGCATTGCCAATTTTCATCTAACATTAGTTATGCTAGAACTTATAAAGAAAATGTTCAATGCACAGAGTTTAGCAGACTAGAGAAGAATGCTGTAATAAATTGATTTTCCGGCCAAGTATATGCAGAAAAAATGGCAACAAAAACCTACCCAGGAAGGTAAATTCTATCAGACAACTGAAATATTTTCTTTCCTTAAGTTATGTTAACGTCTGCTAAACAGTTGCGTAGTTGTTCACATGAAATGAAGGAAAAAGGAAAATCCAGTTACTATTGACACCAAAGAAATGCACGCCAACCATAAACCAGAGATGCTTTGGTACTGTAGCCAGAACAGACGACAGCGTGCTAGGGGAGCAGGGAAGTCCCTGATGGATAGATGATGGGGTCACGGAAGGTTTGTGAGACCTGCTATGTGTCCCGCGAGGCTGACACACTGCCATGTCCATGACAAGAGTCGTATAAACACAAGCTTATCAGCTGGCTTGTTAAAACAGAGTGCAACATCGCTGTGTTGAAAGTGACTTCAGGCTTGCTGAAGGGTCTTGTTCATCTGAGGAAACAGTGCTTGGTGCCACAGATTAAACACTATGGTCTCAAGCGGAATGCATGTGAAGTTTCCAAAATATTTCCTCAAAGACTTTATTCAGTTTTGCTTTGTGACCTTAGCTGGAAAGCATAAAGATGGACATGGGAAGGCAGTTCAGAAGGACATCTGTGAGGATTTAAGTTGGGCAGCTTACAGAAGATGAAAGATGTTTAAAGTTAAGGCCTTTATCTGCAAACAATAGTATATTAATAAACTCTATACCATATTTACAAATGCATTCTCTTGTATTAAAACTAACAGTATTCTGTTCACAGTGCCATTGTTTATACAGGTAGCAATCCCATAATACTCATGTATTTTGGCATGGGAATCAGTAGCGCTTGATATTTACAGAGAATGTACAGGTGTGAATATAAACATGTCACTGAATCTGAGTTATCGATAAAAGACAGATTGGCAAATGGTGCAGAGGAATGAACTGTACAGCACCTTCCCCTTGGATCGGATAGGAAACGTGGTTTCTTAATTGAGAAGATGCCAAATCTCTGACCCAAAGTGGCATAAAGTCCGTAAGAAAACAGTGAACCCCCTGTTCGAGTTTGGGTACATTGAGTAATGTTTGCCCATAGTCTTAGATCCATTGTCTAGTGCATAAAATAGAAAAGTTAAAAAGATTTATTATTATTTTTATAATAATAATTATTATTAAAATAGAAGGTACTTTCTCTCACGCTCTCATTTGTGCTCTTGCACCTGAAACCAATATCCTTGGAGTTCCAAATATGCTGGTGTTTTTGTCATGCAGATCAGCAGTCCGAGGGCCAACGCTAAAAATGCTCTGGACTTAGGAAGTGCCGCCTGTCTCAGTGTGACCCAGGACCCGAGGGGCCCACGGCAGGAGCACCTCTTTCTTACTCCCCAGTCTTCACCTCGAGGGCCAAGCCGGCCCCTGGAATCAGCTCCCTCATGGCGGAATGGAGCTGCTTATCTCGGCAGCTAATGCTGAGGTGACGGATGGCTTCTGTACACTTGGAAAAAGGGAGGCAGGTGAGCGGGAGGAGGGTGGCGTTCCAAAGAGCCCCAGGACGACACCCAGAGAGGGGCTGGGTTTACCGGCAGGAGCCCCTCAGAGCATCTGCCCTCCCAGAGGCCTCTGCGTGAGGAGGCTGGCACTCTCAGTGTGCAGAGCAGGGGGCAGGCCTGGCTGGCACTACGGGGCGTCGCCTTCGGTCACGGTCTGCCCCTCAGCCTCGGTCCCTGGGCCGGTGTGGTCTGGGCCGCCGCTGCCACCGCCACCGCTGCTGCTTCTGCGCTGGTTGGGCAACAGCCTCTTCCACTGGGCTTTGTTGTGCGCCAGGTGGCTTAGCATGCTCTCAGACAGGGCGCTGTGTCCCGTGAAACGGGCCCATTCACGGAAGAGGGGCTCCACGATGTAGGTCATGAAACCTGGAACAGGCAAGGCCAAGCTCATCACCAGCAGGGCAGTAAGACCTACTTCTTCCTCCCTAACAAACATGACTGGGCCCACGATGTGCTGGGCCCGTGCGTAAGAAGGCCACCAAGATGCAGTCCCTGCCCTCAGTGTCGAAGCATAAGATATGTCACCTTGGGCTTGGCATCTAACCTCCCAGTGCCTCAGTTTCTGCAGTTGTAAAAAGGCGTTAAGAAGGGTACCAAACCCATAGGGTTGTTATGACAATCATATGACTTAACACATGTGAAGATGCTTAAAAAGCTCCTGGCACATAATAAACACTCAATAAATATTGGCTATTATTATTTGAAGAAGGGAGAAGACATATAAAGAAAAAAGTAAAAAAAAGTTTGTGCTAGAACTAAGGAGGGTGGGTGGGGGATGGGAGGAAAGAGCAAATGATACCAGGAAGGGGCACCTCGTTGATTTAGACCATCTGAAGAATTGATACATCTACTCCGTAGGGTATTTTTTCAGGATTATCATTTCACAGTTTTGTCTTACTTTCAATTATGTTAAACAACTAGGTGTAGGTAATAAAAGTTCATTCGTCTTCAATACAGATTTTTACCTGCATAAATGTTCTGCTTGAATGACTAGATAAGATGGATTGATATGAGACTTCTTTGTTTGCATGTCTGTTCTCTTAATTATTTTAGCCTTGTTGCTTTCTAACCATGTTTCACTGTTAATGTGCCTTCCATATTAAACATGATTTATTAAAGCAAAGATAACTTCCAGTCTAGGCTGGAATAACTGGACTCATCACAAATTTGGATATATTTAGGTTTTATTGTATTTCCCTGAAATGTAGGTATGGGGAGAAAAGGCAGGTGTTTTTCAGCTAACGAAATCTTCCAACAACTAACCCTGTATGTTTACAGGCATGTGAATTATAAGGCTTGATTTGATTATCCTTTTATTGGACGAACAGCAGATACTTGGCCTTTGAGGATGCTATAGAGATGAAAAAAGAATGCAGCAAAGCAAAATTTTATTGTACATGCCTGCATCATCTCACCAGATGTGAAATATGATTTGAATAGTATAAGATTATTTTAGATTACCTGAACCTGAGGAGGAAGGTTAAGCCAGTGACTTACTGTCTACATCTTGATAAGGTTACACAGGGAGTCAGCAAGAAAGGATTTCATTTTGGAATGTCCTTGCTTGCTATTCTTGAATTTTCTTCACCTCCTTCACAATCTCCATATCTAATTTTGATATCTTTCGTCTTAAGAGAGATTAGATATTAGGTATCTAAAAAGATAGTGCGCAATATTATACTATTCTAAAGTTTAAGTTGGGAATATTTATCAGGTTTACCTTAAGTATAAAAAAAGTTACAAATCCCACATTTAAAAATCCAGTACTTAAAAATCAACTCATTTTCTTCCTGAAATTACTCTGGAATTACACCTCTGTATTTCTACTTGTCAGATATAAAGACCTCTTATAGGAGATAGAAGAGTGATTTTAAAGTCTGAAGAAACACCATGAGGCAGTTTTTCACATGAAGAAAGGCTTCTGCACTTGGGAGCCTGCCCCATAGGTTCCTTGTGTATTTGTGCAAACCTCCCTCTTCTATTTATTCAAGCGATGTAGAGCCTGACTTTGCCGGGATATTGTCTTCCTGGAGTGGTGGGAGTGGGGGCAGGGGAGAAATGATGGCTTCAGAGTACACAGGGATTGAAGGAAAGCCTCTTTCTCCTCATCTTTCTATAGGCTGCACCAATTAGAGAGTCATTTGATTTAATGCCTTCTTTTTTTTTTGCGGTACGCGGGCCTCTCACTGCTGTGGCCTCTCCCGTTGCGGAGCACAGGCTCCGGACGCGCAGGCATAGCGGCCATGGCTCACGGGCCCAGCCGCTCCGCGGCATGTGCGATCTTCCCGGACCGGGGCACGAACCCGCGCCCCCTGCATCGGCAGGCGGACTTCCAACCACTGCGCCACCAGGGAAGCCCTGATTTAATGCCTTCTTTTTAAAATGTAAAGTTTGATGGGGAGAGGGAAGGAATATGGGTGTGTGTGTGGGGTGGATATTAAATCCCTGTCTCACTTGGGTAAATATGAATTACTTAAACAGAAAATCAGGTCTAAGCCTGAGATGGCTCTCAGGAAATCCTCACTGTGGATTGGGAAAGGAAAAAGAGAGGGGACATTTTCAATCCCAGGGTAATCAGAACGGAGGAACTAGCTGCATTATTTAGCACCCACTGGAAAAATCCTTGTCTGGGAGCCTGGAGCCCACAGTTCCCATTAGATTCTGTTGATCTATTTGGGTTTTTCCAGTTTAGTCTGATCTACCTCTGCACACCATACCTCCCAGCCTTGAACCTACAGAGCTGGGAGATGTGGAACAGAGACAGAAAGATTTATCTACTAAGGGTTGTTTTATAATCACCTCTTTCTCTCTATTGGTGTGCTGGTGTAGCATCCATGGGATTTTCCTTTTCATTCAATCCCCATCCCATTTTAAAAACAGGTATCTATGGTAACCACATTTTCCTGAGCTGAAAATCAGGACATATGATCTGACAAAATAAGTGTGTTCTCATGACAACAAGAGAATAGAATCTCCGAAATCAAGTCTGTCTTGTAAATCTAGGTTGTGTGCTTAATAATGTGAATGCTTTTCTCTGGGGGCTCAAAATGTCTTTAACAGGTGCCTGGCAAATTTCTTTCTAGCCAGAATTTAGCAAGCTGGGTCCCAGGATTAGGATTTTGGTTGGGGGTCTATTCCTTTTGAATTGCATCTGCAGAATTTCCTACTTGATAGGGCATTGGATCCAAAGAGGCTGAGGCTGCATTTCTGTTGATGTTGATGCCCTTCCCCCTCCCCTGCAATTCTGTAGCTTCATCTGCTCTGGATTCTTGCAGGGTTTTATTTTTCATAACAACACCCCTCTCCCTTTTTCAGGTGGATGAATCGGTTTAATTGTAAAAAGAACGTAACAATATTAAGGGCATTTTGGAAAAAAAAAAGATCACCAGTAATCTCAGAGTTCCAACACATCTATTTTAACATTTGTATATTCCCTTCAAATTTTTTAAACTAGATAAATTTTGTTCCTATTTCCTTAGGTTGACTTTGTGACTCTTTTGTGGGACTGTGGGTTCAACTTGACCCTCAGTAATTGGAAGCATATCTTTCTAACTGGCTCTGGTTTTCTCAGTTTTCAACTGATGTTTTCAGGTGACCCTTTCACTCCCAATCTCCAGGCATTAAGCCTTGAGCTTGCAGAGGTTTGCAACTGTGAATGTGTTAAGCTGTCTGAGGTCTGTGGGAACTGGTGAAGAACATGAAATGGTACATGTCAGGGCCATAGTTTATAAGTAAAGAGTTAAAGTTCTGAGTTTTTTTTTTTTTTTTTTGTAAGTTTATTATCTCTGCTCTAACAAATCTTGAAATTAACATGCAGCCTTTAACTGCTATATTTCACTTATGTGGCAACATGTTTTTATTTTTAAAATTTTATTTATTTATTTTTTACACAGCAGGTTCTTATTAGTTATCTATTTCATTTATTTTTTTACATTACCCAAAGCAATCTATAGATTCAATGGAATCCCTGTCAAACTACCAATGGTATTTTTCACAGAACTATAACAAAAAATTTTACAATTTGTATGGAAACACAAAAGACCCCGAATAGCCAAAGCAATCTTGAGAAAGAAAAACAGAGCTGGAGGAATCAGGCTCCTGGACTTCAGACTATACTACAAAGATACAGTAATCAAGACAGTATGGTACTGGCACAAAAACAGAAATATAGATCAATGGAACAGGATAGAAAGCCCAGAGATAAACCCACACACATATGGCCACCTTATCTTTGATAAAGGAGGCAAGAATATACAACGGAGAAAAGACAGCCTCTTCAATAAGTGGTGCTGGGAAAACTGGATAGCTACATGTAAAAGAATGAAATTAGAACACTCCCTAACACCATACACAAAAATAAACTCAAAATGGATTAAAGACCTAAATGGAAGGCCAGACACTATAAAACTCTTAGAGGAAAACATAGGCAGAACACTCTATGACATAAATCACAGCAAGATCTTTCTGACCCACCTCCTAGAGAAATGGAAATAAAAACAAAAGAAACAAATGGGACCTAATGAAACTTAAAAACTTTTGCACAGCAAAGGAAACTACAAACAAGACGAAAAGACAACCCTCAGAATGGGAGAAAATGTTTGTAAATGAAGCAACTGATAAAGGATTAATCTCCAAAATATACAAGCAGCTCATGCAGCTCAATATCAGAAAAACAAACAACCCAATCCAAAAATGGGCATAAGACCTAAACAGACATTTCTCCAAAGAAGATATACAGATTGCCAACAAACACATGAAAGAATGCTCAACATCACTAATCATTAGAGAAATGCAAATCAGAACTACAATGAGGTATTACCTCACACTGGTCAGAATGGCCATCGTCAAAAATCTACAAACAATAAATGTTAGAGAGGGTGTGGAGAAAAGGGAACCCTCTTGCATTGTTGGTGGGAATGTAAATTGATACAGCCACTATGGAGAACAGTATGGAGGTTCCTTCAAAAACTAAAAATAGAACTACCATATGACCCAGCAATCCCACTACTGGGCATATACCCTGAGAAAACCATAATTCAAAAAGAGTCATGTACCACAATGTTCATTGCAGCTCTGTTTACAATAGCCAGGACATGGAAGCAACCTAAGTGTCCATCAACTGAGTTTGGTTTTAATTGGAGGGAACTGCAAGGAACAGAAAGACTTGCTTTAAACATAGATGGAATTGGTAGAGTGTTTCAAGGAGTGATAGAAACAAACAATTACTTTAGAGGCATTAACATCACCCTTTAACATTTTCGTGCAATTGACACTTGAGAGTGTGGTCCTAAGAGAATGAGACTGAAAATCCATTTTGAAGTGAAGACTAGAGAAGCATGGGATCTCATGTCACATGGCTGGTGGGGCCTGGGCCTGGGGACCAAGCCCCTAGTATTGAGCATTGACGATGAAGGGTAATGACCAAATTGGAAGGATCCTGAACTGCAGATTTCCCACCCTTCATGTCCTAAAGAGAGTGCGAGCTAATCCAATCTTCAGCAGCCAATAGTTGATTCTTGTTACTTTCCTCTACTCATTTGGTTTTGATTCAATTCTGAACTACAAAGTTAATACAGGTTAGTTATTAAGGGTCTGTAACAAAGCCTTTACCCTATTTTTCATCTCGGTAATTAGTCATGACTAGAGTGTTCATTTGGACTCAGCCATTCAAAGGGCCATTGATTAAACCTCTCGTTTGGATCTTGAGAAAGCTGTGTGTAGATCTTCTTAGTGACTCTTAGCAGAGGTGCTGAAACTGTTGATTTAACATTAAAATTGAATTCGACTCACCAATTTGTATACTAGGGATTGAATCTTTCTGTTGATTGCAAAGAGGACTAATTTCCAGTTCAAATTTCTGTTCAAGGTCACCTAAGAAGAAAAAAGAAGAAACACATTGGTAATCGAGAACCTATAAGAATGAGTGTTGATAGTTTTAATGATCTAGTTGGAAGAAGTTATCTGGGAATTACTGTTCCCTGCCTTATCACTAGGAACCCTTTAGCAACAACTGGCTCTGCCCTACTCCGGTAGCTTCTGCGAAAATTTAAAATATCAGAGTATCGACGATCATTTACAATAGGCTCATTGTAAATAGGTATGCTCTGGGATTAGAATAAGCTTTTGAACAAAAATCTATAAAAACAAGAAAACGAATGGCCAGTTTCCTAATATGAGATGGAAGTTCTGGTTTTAAGTTGCAGATTAAGAAAACAGGTTTTATGCTTTTTCTCTCCTTTCACTCTGCCTGACCCTCATCTGGTTTCACCTGAACAACCGGGAATAATTAGTAGGCAGGAAATCGGGAAGAGGAAGTAGAAAGATCTCATTTGAAGAGCATCTCTGTAGCTACAAAATTAATCCAAAATAAGGGTCTGGTATCTTTCATTCTTACTCCTTAGAGTTTTACTTAGTGTAAATGAAGGTTAAAGAAAGTATAAAGCTCAGGATGATCTTTCTTTTTAATGTCTCCATCAGCTAGAGCAGAAAAGAAATACATCATGCAAAGCTTTATCAAAGTATTTTATCAATTCTTCCTGAAGGTGAAAAATTGTGCATAATTACTTCATTGGGAAAAACAATCTGGTTAATCAGTACAGCAGCTGGGTCTCAGAAACACTTAGCTGAGTTCAGTTGTGAGTGCACTCCTCTAAACTAGAGGAGAGAAACACATAACAGTTATATCATGCTTACTGTATGTCAGGCACGTTCTAAGCATTTTACCTATTTAATTAATTTAATCCTCATAACAGCCTCACTATAACCCCCATTTTACAGATGCGGAAATTGAGATGAAGCGTAGGGAAATATGTTGACCTAAGGTCCTTCTGCCAGTGAAGAGGGGAGCCTGGATTCCAACCCAGAAAGTCTGGCTTCAGAGGGTCTGCGCTTAACCATTAAGCTAGGATCTTTTGAGATGCCACATGTCTGTCATTTTCCCTAAGACTTTCGCCATGGCTCCCATGGTCTCTCGGGCCCTCGTGATTCTCAGAACTGATGTGAGGAAATCACTTTGGCTTAACTGAGGAGTTCAGGGAAGTCAGATGATAATAGCCTTCTGAGGGCAGAGCATGACACCATTTAATATTAAAATGAATTCTCCTAAAGTTGGTTTTACTCCTCACCTCCATAGTTCTGTTAATAGTGATTTTTCAGTTAAGTCTGACACTTTGGAGGAGTTGTCTTTGATTTTTCCCTTCCCTCTACCCTCTGTATTGAGGAAGCAAATCCTGTTTACTCCTCTGTTGAAACATCTATTTTCCCTACTTTCACTCTGCCTGACTCTAGTCTGGTTTCTTTCTTTCTTTCTTTCTTTTTTTAAATTGAAAAATAGTTGATTTATAATATTATATTCATTTTAGGTATACAACACAGTGATTCAATATTTTTATAGATTATACTCCATTTAAAGTTATTATAAAATATTGGCTATATTCCCTGTGCTGTACATTACATCCTTGTACCTTTTTAAAAAAATTTAATATTTATCTTTATTTTATTGTTTTTTTTGGCTGCACGGCATGTGGGATCTTAGTTCCCTGACCAGGGATCAAACCTGCGCCCCCTGCAGTGGAAGCACGGAGTCTTAACCACTGGACCACCAGGGAAGTCCCACATCCTTGTACCTTATTTATTTTATACCTAGAAGTTTGTACCTCTTAATCCCCTATCCCTATCTTGCCCCTCCCCCTTCCCTCTCCCTGCTAGTAGCCTCTAGTTTGTTCTCTGTATCTGTGAGTCTGTTTCTGTTTTGTTATATTCATTCATTTGTTTTATTTTTTAGATTCTACAGATAAGTGAAAACATACAGTATTTGTCTCTCTCTGTCTGACTTATTTCAGTAAGAATAACACCCTGCAGGTCTATCCATGTTGTTGCAAATGGCAAAATTCCATTCTTTTTTATGGCTGAGTAGTATTCCATTGTACACATACACCACATTTTCTTTATCTGGTTTCTTTATAACTCATTCCGATTTTTTGCTTCTTAGCTAGTTTCTTTCGTATTTCTTCTGCTTCAGTTATACATGTTGCCCTAATTGTACTTTCTAAGATGACTCCCATTGCCATGTTCTCTACTTTTAGCATGGTGTACAGGGGCCTCAACAGATCCTCATATTCTCACCTTCTATGGGATCAAGCTGGTCTATGAGGCAGGGGGATAGTCTGCAGTGCTTCTGTCCATTTCTGCTCCTCTCTGTCTAGACCACTGGGACTGTCTGCAATGATGGAAATGTTCTCTGCACTGCCCACTATAGTAGCCCCTTGAAATCAGATCAAGAAAACTGAGGAACTAAATTTTCCATTTTATTTAACCTAATTAATTTAAATTTAACTAGCTACATGTGCCTCATGTTTATCCTATTGGAAAGTGCAGTCACTACACATCCTTGAATACCCAGCTCAGATTTGGCCATCCTCAGCACTAGGTCTTCTCCTGTGGCCTCTACCATAATTGGTCTTCCAATTGGATCATTTAGTCATTCACTTATTTCAACGTATATTTACAAAGCACTGCACATTTCAGACACTTTGTTAATCAATGTAGAGAATACAAAGAGGAAGATTGGAGTTTCTCTCCTCCAGGACCTCTACTGGTTAGTATTTTGAGCTTATGAAACATTAACTATAATTCTTTGCCTCCTTCATGACACCCCCAGTGGGTCTTTGCACATAGGAAAATCACAGCTTTGCTGAGGATTAGACAAGGCTGGAAGCAGATGTTCGACGAAAACTTCTGGGAATCTTGGTTCATTGAGAAATACCAATCTGCAGTTACAATAGGACAGAAATTCTACTTTTTTAAGGCACTGAGGGGACGAGGGTGAATGATGTTTGAATCCTATGTCTGTTCTGAGAATTTAACACTGTCTTCCTAATTCATGGGATCTCATCTTCCTTTCCCCTTCTGTCCCTGACCTTGATTTTAGGGTTTTTCCTTTGCTCAACATCACAAATCATTAAAGATACTTTGGCTGGGACTGTTAGCAGTCTGTGGAAGCCCAAATCCTAAACTGAAAGCCAGAAGAAGATTAGTCAAAGTGATACAAATGGTGCTTTACAGAATTTCTAAAAAAATAGTTCAGTATGGAGGACAAGAAGTTTGGATAACCCGAGAGTCTGGTCTTCTCTTAAATAAGCTGAACTTCTGCTAGACCATAAGGCTATTAAATAAAAAGGACCCGACATACCCTCTGAATTCTCCTTTCTCTGCTAGGAAACATGCCACAGCAAAGTGTTTGAAAGCTCACCTTTAGTGATCAGAGTTACACATATTCTAGGTTGTTCTATCTTATGATGCTGCACATGCAGATTATTATGAGGACAAGTTTTTGCCAAGACATCTTACAGATTACCTTTATTGGTAGATCCCACTGATTCCACTTAGTTAACAACTTCCACTCACCAGCTCTGTGGGCCTTACCATCTGCCCAGGGGACATGGTCCAGGCCCCAAACTGCTCATAATCCAAATAGGGCTCAAGATAAGCAAATGAAAGGGTTAAACTCCAATCAGTGCCAACAAGAACGCATGACTGAGTCAAAACCAAGAGGGACAGAGTAGAATCATTGCTTGATCAAGGATGAAGATCCCAGCCCTTTTCTCGCTATGCTATTTCCATATTTTCTGTATCTTATAGTAAAGGAAGTATTTATCTTATCTAACCTGAAACCTCCTTGCTCTAAGTTCATCATATTTCCTTTTGTTTTTCTCTCAGTGGAGATTTTATATCATGGGCAAGTAGAACTGGCCTTTTGTTTTCTAACCAGTCACACTCATTTGAAGTGAAAGGACACAGAGAGGGAGCTCCATGAGTGCTTTTACTCAAAGGAAAGAGATGCGGAGCACAGCCTGCTGGTCCCACATGAACCCTATCCGTTCTGCTTTGTCTTCTGTCTTTGGGACCATCTCAGTGTCACTGACACATCTTTCTACGGAGCCTTCTCCAAAAGGCTCACTGTTGCTACTTGACCTCCCCACAGAACTGGTATGTGGGACACTTCAGGCTTTATTTGTTCTCAGCCTCTCAGACCTGATCCTGTCACTAACATCAGGGCACTGTTGTGCCTGAAAAAACATCCCGAGCCCTGAAACCGGGCCTGAAGAAACAAGCTGTGTTTAAAGGCCAAGATCCCACCCAACATCAAGATCCTGCTGTTAATTCACTGCTTTACTTCTGAATGAGGTTAATCTCTTAAAATTTATACCCTAACTTGGGGCCACTTGTCTTTTCACTGTATATATTTGAGAGGACGAACACTGGCCAGCTGTGCTCTATTTCATTATTCACTTTATTTAAGAAAGTGAGGGAAAGGAATACAAAAAAAGTCTAAGTCCTTCTGTCAGAGTGGAAAACATTGATCCCAAATGGCATTTAGCCTTTAGGCTGTGCTCAGCTCATAAAAATGAAGGTCAGAGTAAAAATCAAACAGTCCTGCACATTCTTATATCCACAGAGAAAAACCATTAACAAATTATATATATATATATATATATATATCCCCCTTTTGCTCATTTTTACTGTACCTCATTATTACCTGTTTCCACAGTAAATCAGTGTTATTTATTAATATTTTCAAATTATTTCCAGAAAAGGGCTGGATGGTTCGCAAGAGGGTTAAAAGAGAAAGGCTGGGATAATACGAGTTGATGAAAGAACAAATGTCATGATAGATGATCCATTCCCTGTTTTCTTAGGATAAATGCCTGAAAGGAGAAGGGGCAATGAAAAGTCAGCTGTCGGGTCACTACTAACCTTGCCTGTAGAATTCTTCACAGACCCTTTCACTCCATTGCTTGCTCATCTCCCAGATTCTACAAGGATTGCAAATGTCAGCACACTTCAAGGCAATCTGAGGAATGACAGGGCAGGGAGAGAGGGTCAGAGGATGATCTTTGAGCAGCAAATGCACCCCAAGCCCAAGGGGCCATCAGACCTGCCAGTCGGCCTCATGGTACCAGTCCTGTATTTATAGAGGCTCCCCTGACGTGCCTCCTCAGGAAAACAGCACTTATTCATCATGGCACAAAACCTTCATTCAGAACTCCCACTTTATAGCAGTGAGAAGGAGAGAAGAGCCATCATCCAAGGACACGGAGCTACCTGGAGGAGACTTGGGGCAGGCAGGCCGAGGAAAGCCGTGGCCTGTTCCTGCTGCTCCACTCCTTGTGGGCAGGGAGGCCGCAGGGGCCCCAGCCAGGCTCAAGTGAGATCATTGGGACCTCACTCACTCTCACAGTGGCCACACTGACCGAGTCCATACATTAAATTATTTGTGTTTGCATTTATATGCCCGTGTCTGTGTGAACAAGCTCAGACTGCCAGCCAGGGAGCTGAGTCATATCAAGCCTAGGAGTGTTTGGTTTGCAGAGATAAATCTGGGCCTTCTTGGCTTTGCCCACACTGTTCTGCATCTGGGATACAGCTTTTGTCAGAGATGCTGACCCTAGGAGGGTTTCCTTGGATTTCCAGAGAAATAAGTTCTCCCCCTTAACTACCAGCTGCCGAGAGCCCACTGCCCAGATGGGCTTCTGGTGGTGTGCCCGTCCATCAGCAAGGTCTGTTGGTTTGGACCGAGTTCTTTGGGATCATAGAACTGCTAGCAGTGCTGGGGTCTGGGAGAGCCTGAATCATATTAAGTTGCAAACCTGGTTGGTTCTTCATTTCCTGGTGAATGCGGACACCAGTACATGTTGGAGTAGGTCAGGGGCAGAAGTCCTCTCCAGGTTCCGCCCTTGAGGGATTTGTGTGTGTTAGCAAGCTTTCCTTTTGAAATGCAAGTGTCCAGGCCAAATCTTTCAGCTAGTCACAACTAGGCTTGAGTCATTAAAATCAGGCATCTGTGGCACTCAGGGACGAGAAGACTAGTTTGGGAAGAAAGAAGGAGGGAGATACAGTTTTACAGCTGGGAGGAGGGTATTTCCTTAAAAGGATGGAGCAGTTGGACAGCTTCCAAAGGCAGCCTGAAGGCATGGAAGGGAAGAAACAGTATGGTTCAGTCTACCACGTGCAGGTCCACGTCCGTGGTTAAAGCTGGCCTATCTAGATGCATCCAGGATTCATCCATTCAGTCTTTTGTGCCAAAAGGAAAGAAGGAAAATGAGAGAAAATGGAAGATCAAGCAAAAGGCTCTGGTTTGGATACAGCAGGTCAGACTTCTGCTTCCAAGGTCCACTTCCCATCTTGTTCTTTCTTAACTTTCACAAATGGCTTTTTGCCATGGAAGGAAGCAGAAAGGGTTGGGCTTGATATGATTCAATGCATTCAATTAAACTTAAAATCATTTATTTATTGGTGCCTAAAAATGGTAAGACTAGGTAAACACGTCTGAGCCTCAGATGAAAATATGAGTTAAGGTAGTAAAAGGAAGGAAAGCAGGGTTTAATTAAATAGGCTTTAGGTAGAGGAAGGATACTCGTTTTTCAATTTTCGTTAGTACTATAGTTAACATAATATACTTTTGTATTAAAGAAACAGTTTTCCACATTGCACAGGTGTGACAGTGATCAGCTCTATATCAAGGCACAAAATGTGGTAGATGCTTACTGCATGCAACTACACAACTCCGTTGTGGTGAAGCAGTTACCAAACAAGGAAAAATGAGATATTATCAACTTACTGATGTGAAACCCAGATTTTACTTGCTTGGAAACCACTTAAAAATTTCATGTCTCAAAGTTTTTAATAAAGTAGGTCACCGCTCTAGCTTATACCATGGGAGATATTTCTTCTCAGATGAATTAAAATGATGGATCGTGTCCTTAAGTGTTATACCCAGTGAGGGTAATGACTTCTTTTTGTTGTTGTTGTTTACCTGAAGCATAAAGTGCCTGTCGTGTACATCCTCCAGGCTTAAGTCTTTATTGTGGAGGTGAGCTTTCAATCTGGTCAGAAATTCATTCTGTCTGTTGATGTCTGTTGCCAAGATCAAGGAGCCCAGCTGCTGTTCAATATTCTGTCTGCATCCGCAAGAATGAAAGAGAAAACACACACACAAAGCAAATTCCTTTGAGGAGGGTGATGGATTCTGTCATCATCAGGTGGCTTGTACTCTCATTTCTGCCTCTGATTCTGTTTATTACACAGAATCCCAGTCCTTGCAGCCCGAGAGTGATTCTTTCACCCACCATCGTTTCTGTCCTTGGATGGGATGTATGTCAAGGACTGGACAGAGAGATTGAAACCATGGGTGAACAGAGTTGTGGCAGTTTATACATTCCCATGGTTCCTATGGGTGGGAAGATCGAAAGCCAACGAGAAATGTATGCTTTAAGGAGGACCCAGAAAGACTCACAGAATCACAGGCATTTGAATTGTGCTTTTTATAGAGTTCAAACCAACTCAAACTTTAAGATTTGCATGGGGAGAGAAATGGGCATGATAATAGTAACAGTAATGAAGACAATAATAGCGACTGATTCTGTGGAATGGAAAGACCCATCAAGGGGACAAAACTGATAGGTTGGAAAGAGATACTGGAACTTAAAAAAAAATCACAGTTGATTAAGGCACCATTCAAAAGCAGTGGTCAAGCAATATATTGGTCAACAGATGGTATATGGAAAATGGGATATTTTGGAAAACTAAAACAAATCAGAGCTTATCCTCACATATGGAAAGTAATCAATGGGAGGAATATCCGTACCTATTTTTAAAATTCACCTTTAAAAATGAAGTATACTTAAGTAGAGAGCATAGAGTACACATATACAATTTAATGAATAAATATCAAATAAACATCTTATAATCACCATCCAGGTCAAGATCGTTGCCTGCCAGTACCCCAGAAGGTCCTCATTGTGTCTCTCATCCAACCCCACCTCCCCTCAACCCCTGAAGTAACCACTCTCTTGACCTTTGTTTTAATAATTTCCTTGCTACTTATAACAATTTTACCACCTGTGTATGCATGTTTAAATAATACGGTTTAACTTTAACTGCTTTTGCACGTTAAGTTATGTGATAAGTATCAGTTTGTGACTTGCTTCTTTAGCCTAACATATTTTTGTTGTTGTTGTTGTTTGCGGTACGCGGGCCTCTCACTGTTGTGGCCTCTCCCGTTGCGGAGCAAAGGCTCCGGACGCGCAGGCTCAGCGGCCATGGCTCACGGGCCCAGCCGCTCCGCGGCATGTGGGATCTTCCCGGACCGGGGCACGAACCCACGTCCCCTGCATCGGCAGGCGGACTTTCAACCACTGCGCCACCAGGGAAGCCCATAGCCTAACATATTTTTGAAAGTCACCTAAGTTGATGTGTGAGCTGTCGTTCATCCATTTTCTTGATTACATTGTATCCTATTGTAGGACTATACTTCAATGTATTTATCTGTTCTACTTTTGATGGTAACTTGAGTAGTTTCTAGCTTTTGACTACTATGGAAAAAATGACACAATAAACACCCTCATGTACCTCCAGTTACACATGTGCAAAGTTTCTCTAGGGACTATATCCAGGAATAAAATTATTGGATCAGAGATGTTCATCTTCAATTTCTTAGATATTGCTGATTATTTCCAAAACAGTTGTGTAAATTTACACTCCAAACAGTAATAGATGAGGTTCTCATTGCTTTATAGTCTTACACTTTACTTTTTTTTTGCCCATTTGCCAATGTCACGCAACTCATTATAATCTTAATATGAATTTCCTTGATAACTAATGAGGTTGGACATATTTTCATGTGTTTATTGGCCATTTCTATTTTTTTGGTGAAGTTTCTATTCTAGTCATTACCTACTATTCTATAGGGTGGTTTCTGTTTTGTTTATTGCTTCTAAGAGTTTTTAATATGTTTTCAATAATGGTCTTTTGTCACTTATGTGTTGCAAATATCTTCTCTCACTCTGTGGCTGGTCTTTGTTTTCTTTATGATGTCTTTTGATGAAAGGAAGTCTTAATTTTTAATATAGCTTAACCTAAAAATATTTTTATTTAGGTTAATATTTTTCTCCTATTTAAGAAATCCTTCCTGCCTCTGATGAAAATATTCCCTACATTATATTCTAAAAGCTTTATAGTTTCATCATTAACATTTTTGTTTTTAAGCCACATACACATCTTTAATCTACTCCTGGACATTAGAAATAATCTCAGAAAACAGGCAATTCACAAAAGAACTTTAAAATGTTCCCAAAATATGAAAAGATATTAAATATTCTTAGTGTAACAAAAAATATTAAAACAGCTATGTGATACTATTTCCCATACTTTTATTGGCATGGATTAAAAGCAACTGCTAAATAATATGATGAATTAATGAATGATTGTGATATTTAATGCTGTTGACAATATGGGGAAATCTTCCTTCTTATTCTCTGTTAGCCAGAGTGTAAACTGGTGCAGTGTTCCTGAGGGTAATTTAGGAATTAGTGTTAAAAGCAATAAATATAAATAATTTGACCAACAGTTCATCTACAAATTTACTATGAACATGTTAGTAAAGATACAGTTAGTAAAGATATATGTTATGAGAATGTTTATCCTATTGTTTAAAATAATGAAACATTCTAGGGAGAAAAATATCACAAGAATTCATAAATAGGAGATTGGTTAAATGAACCATGTTACAAGCATACTATGCAATTATTCATATGATGATGTATAGCTATATTTATTGACACGGAAAAATACCATGTTTTATTGTTATGTTTAAAAACAGGATACAAAGTATGTAAGACACGATCTCTATGGTCATAGAGAAGAATTTGGAAAGACACAGGAGAATTATGAATGATTTTCACTTAAAAAATAATTTTCAATATTGTATGAATTCTTTAAAAATATGAATATTTATTAAATTTATAACCAGGAAACATAACTATTTTAGTTAGGTGAAATATTTCATGAACCAGGTTAAAAGGCAAACTAAAAGCTTCAAATAATATTTACAACATATACCAAATGGTTACTGTAGTTAAAATACAAAAACTTCTTACAAATGAATAACAACACTCAAAAGAAAATAAGAAAAGATCAAACGCAAAATTTTGTTCTCTAAAGAAATAACAGTGGCCAGTAAATACATGAAAAATTTTTAGTCTCATTTGTTATCAATGAATCTCTCTCTCTCTCTCCTTCTCTTTCTTTCTCTCTCTCTCTCTGTCAAATCTGCAAATATTTTAAAAAGGTAATAGAGATAAAACTCAATTTTGGTGATGGTACATTGGTAGATTTTCTCATAATCTACCAGTGGGAATACAGGTAGATGCAGCTTTTTGGAAAAGCAATTTGATAGTATACAACAAGAACCTTAAAAATTCACACCTTTCTTTCTGATCAATAACTCCTAACCACAAACGGTTTCTGAGAAAATAGAATATCGTAGTTTGGGATAAAAATATATGTTTAAGGATGCTTGTTAAGCATTATTTGTAATGATATAAATTTGGAAATCATCTAAATTCCCAACAATAGGCAATAGTCATTACAATTTGATGCAATGGAATGCAGTACTTTATTTTAGCAGCAGGTTTAATGATATGGAAAAAGACCTTTACAGCAAGTGAAAAATAGCAGGACATACACTGTATGAGATAACTTCCCCATTTCTTTAAAATATAGTTGTACTGAAAAGACGACTAAAAGGAAACAAACCAGCCAGGTTAACATTTGCTATTCCTGGACTGCCGGATTACCAGCAATCTCATTTTTCTTCTTCCTATTAGGTTGAATCATATGAAACTGCCAATATTCTACTGTTCTGGGCTCTCAAAAACAGCAACTTCATATGGTGCAAACTAATACTTTTCTGATTTTTTCGTTAGTGTGTATGGTTAACCTGTCTTTCAGAATCAGAAAAATGATTTGAAGGCATTTACATGAGGACAGGATATTCACTATGAGTAGGATGACCGTAAATTTCATTATAAAGTCCTTTAACATATATTATTGCATAACAGTTTTTCTTCTAGCAAAAGCAACTTATAACACTATGTTCCACAAAAACATATAAAATATAGTATTTTTATTTGGAATCCATAGGGATGAGTAGAAGTATCTTAGGAAATGAATATTAATTGAGCAACGAGCAGGATTAAGGAGGGCGTTACAGGGACAAATCTGGTCCCAGGTTCCTCCTCCCTTTTTCCTGTTGTTTTATTCCTTCCTGTCTCCTTCTCCTTCCTTCCCTTCTTCTCTCTTTCTTTGGCTTCCTTACCGTTCACCTCTTCCTTCCTCCTCCTTCTTACTTGATTTTTTGCTCTAGTTTTTAGTTCTTTTTGCACTTAATTCTTTCGATCTTTGCAATGTATTGTTTTAGTAAGAGGCACGAGTTTTTATTCCATGTGTGAGGATTGGTTTTATTTGGTTTCGGGGGTAAAATGTTATCAGAATTGAAGTTCCTTCCACATATTCCACTTTCTTCTGGGTGCTAGGGAACAGCATGAGATAGAATCAGCGTGCCAGGGGTAAACGTGCGAGCCCAGAGCATCCTGCCTGCTTTACCGAGAGACACCACGTGGTCCTTGACCTTAAGTTTTGTGCCCTTCAGAAACATGGTACAGGGATCTATTTACTTTTTCCCTCCTAGCTACCCTGGGTTCTGTGCATTTGAATTAAACAGATAGGAATTAGCGGTGACCTTGGAAGACAGTGCAGCAGCTAAATTAAGGCCAATATGGTACAGCAGCTAAACTGAGGCCAGGTGGAAATGAGGCCATGGTCTTGGATTTAGTAGGACTCGACCTAAATACCCGGGCTAACAAACAGTGGACCAGGAAACTAGTATTTCCCTTTCTGTTTAAAATGCAAGAGACATAGGTAAATTCCTGGTGAAAAAAATTGCTGGGGCCAATTCAGTTACTTAACAAAAGACATTTTAGAAAAGAATTCCTGACTTCTCCTTTTGCTAAGACTGGCAATAACAAAACACGCTTTATTGAACTAGGCTTCAATCTAGCTTGGGAACTCCTGTGTTCCTTCTTGATAAATATTTATTATTTGGATCTACACAGGAGGACAATTTTGCTAACATAAAAGACAGGAATTTGGCAAAGCACAGCGTTGATGCCGAAGAGTGTGAAAGCTGAGAGCTGTTTATTATCTCTTTTCCTGACGTTAGGTCCTACGCTCTCCAGGCCCTTTCAGAGTTCACAGAGGGATTCTGGTTTCTGGGTTGCTGTAACTGACACCGCATCTCCTCTGATAGGCAACCAAGGCAGCACGGGCCGGAAGCACAGCGGGCTGGCTCCCTGCCATTAACCCTGGCGGTCTCAAGCCCAAGAGAAAGCGGCTTATCTCTAATGTGTGGACATCGGTATGTTTCATCTCTACGTCACTTACGTCATTTCCTTTGGCAAGTGAGCCAGAAGTCTTGATTCTCGAAGCATGCCGATCGTAGATCGCCAGTGGTGATTCTCCAGCACAGACATATTCTAGAAAGAAAGAAAATTAAAACTATAAATGGGGGAGAAGCCAGATACCGATCTCTCTCACTGAACACAGCTCCGTGGAGGCCAGTATTTTCCCTCTGGCCAGTTGGTACCTGATGACATAGAGGCAGAGCAGAAATACAAAATAAAACAACCGCAGGCCTATTCTCAAGGCTATAATAATAGTGTGTGTGTGGGTCAAGGCCCCGCTGACCTTCCACCAGAGGGCTGAATGCGGGTCTATTTCTAGCAGCCGCAGTCCTGTCTCTGTCTGGTTTTGAAAGCGCATTCAGGTAACAGTGTAGAAGAAAGAAAGTGAGGCAGTAAAAGTAGGTAGTAATGGATACCGTAGGGCTATGTGCATAATATAATCCCAAATCACACTACTCAACAGAACTGAGGCAGGCCTCACAACCTCTGGTGTGATATGCGCCCCAGTCAATGCAGTCTTGTTTTGGTGGCTTTGTGGTGATTTATTATTGTGGACACTAAAGTCTGAGAACCACTGTCAGTAATCTTCGTGATCAGTATATCGGCACTTAGCCCATTAGGTCTGGGTTTGAATCTACAGTTGCTTCCTTGTTCAACTATCTTGATATTTCTTCCTTTGTGGAAACCTCTACTACATCCAATCTCTCCTTTGACCTTAAGTATGCTGCCTGTCTGAACATTAGCTAACCATTTAAATAATGAATATTTCTTACAACCTACTGTGTTTTGTTCTATATTAGCAAACATTATGGCCTTACCACTGACTTCATTTACAGAGAACAGAACTCTTCTAGTCCCCAAGAAATCTTTTCCCTTTATTTTCTTATTTATTTATTCATTCTCCATTTTGTTTCAAGAGGTGTTATAAACTTACAAAAAATACGGGAAGATAGCATTTATTAAAAGTGAGGCTAAATTGTCAAGGCATGGAAGCAACCTAAGTTTCCATCAACAGATGAATGGACAAAGAAGATGTGGTGTATATACATACATATATATGTGGTGTATACACACACACACACACACACACACACACACACACACACACACACACA